CGGAGCTCAGCATGCGGCCCGCGGGCGTCGGGAGCTTCTTGCTGCTGGCGTGCTCCCTCCTCTTCGCGGGGCTGTCAGCTGTTCCCCAAAGCTTCTCGCCATCGCTGAGGTAAGCTCGGTTCGCTCTGCAGGGCGGACCTGCCCGCTGCGTGCGGCGGGGCTCAGCGCGGGCGGCTGTCCCGCGCCAGCAGCAGTTAACCCAGCTGGACGCCGCACCAACGGCTTCCAACCTGCTCCTGCTCCTTGCTTTAGATCCACGCCGTGCGTTGCCTCTCCTCTGTCCTTTTGCTTGTACTCTGGTAAAACTAGAATCACTGAATAAATAAATAATTTCCTCTTAGGCCAATACATACCAGGAAGAATTTCTTCCATGGGTTAAAGGCTGTTTTATCGTTGAGTATCTATACATTTTCACAGCCCGTAAGGCTGAATTATTTCATGGGTCTGTAGTACATTTTGTATTGCATTTTCTAAGAGACTTTGAGGCACATGGCAAAGCTAAACTTTTAAAAGAGTATAGTTTATAAGCACAGCTTAATGCAACTTTAGAAAGCATTTTGCCCTACGCTATCATAACACATAATAGCTCTTTCTATATATTAATTTCTTGTTTTTCATAAAATAACTGCCTCTGGCCGTCAGAGAGTAGTGAGACTTTTAAAAAAGAACTGAAAAGTCAGCTCAGTGTCATACTTTAGACCAGTTTGTATTTAATCTAAAGGTGCATATAAGATTCAGGGGCACACTTCCAAGGGGCAGGAATGGCTCACCTCTGTCCAACCGGAAGATGGTCCTATTCCTGGGTGGGCAGGTCTTCGCTTAGACATTTTGGGTCATGGTCATTTCTCAGGTGATATAGCCTCTGGGTGGTGCCCCTTGCCTGGGATAAAACGGTACCTCTAGAGGGAGCTTGGCCCGCAGAGAAATGTGGGGCCTCAGGGGTTCTATGTCTCCATCTGGGTGGCACTGGGAGGAAACGTGGGCTCAGAGCGGTAGGAGCAGCGCCTGTGCTTGACCGTGGCCCTGCTGTGGTTTGTCGCCCCATGCAGAAGCGGGCCAGGTGCCACGTGCAGGCTGTCGCGGGCCGAGTCGGAGCGCCGGTGCCGGGCGCCCGGGCAGCCCCCAGGGGGCGCTCTGTGCCACGGCCGGGGCCGGTGCGACTGCGGGGTCTGCATCTGTCACGTGAGCGAGCCGGGCGTGTACTTCGGGCCGCTGTGTGAGTGCCACGAGTGGGTGTGCGAGACCTACGACGGGAAGACCTGCGCAGGTAAGGGAGGGCGCTGTCTCCTCCGCCACGCGCGAGCCCCCGCGGGAGCGGGAAGCCCTTCCCTCTGGGGTGCCCGGCGCGTCCCCGGAGAGCCGCGCAGGGTGGCCCGCTGCTCACAGCCCTCGAGGAAGCTGCCTTGGGCCAAGGGATTCTTTGGCTAGTCAAGCCTGGAATCGTTTACTGTAACACTTTCCTCCACCCTAGGGTTATAAATCTCACTTGTCTCTATTTTAGTTTCTTACTACAGACTAAACCTCCCAACGTCCTCACAACTGGAGTTCTTTTGCTGGGTTCCTCTCCCCCAAACACTAACGCTAACCATAATATTTGCAGAACAGAAGCTTGTGTTCTGTGTTTACTAAGGCAATGCAAGGCAATGCTTTTTTCCGAAATTCCAGGGGAGCAGGTTGTGTTTCCCAGCTCTGATTTGCCCTCTCATACCGAGGGTAGAGTTCACAGGTAGAAGTGCACGTCAGGAACCCCGACAAGGAAAGCATACTTCAATCCCTATTTACTTAGAAGCCATCGCTTATGTATTGTTTTAGCTGCTGGATATTTTTAGCTGCAGTGAAACTTGTTATTTTGTAAGGGTGGAGCGAAAATAAACTCATTTCCTTGCGCATCTGTGAGGAGTCATTTGGGCCCTGATTTTTGGAAAGGGTCAAGGTATTTCTTTGCAGAGAATAACCCAACCTCTACCGGTTTCACTTAAATATGCCATTTGCTTCAGGCCGACAAGCTCAGTTAGGTCACTGTGAATGATACAGGCACTCCTTTAGTACAAGGACAACACAGTGCATTCCAACCAGGGTTTGGCATATTTGTAGGGGGGAAAAAATCACAACTTATTTACCCACAGTGTAGCTAAGAATAAAGAGTCCAACACTAACATACAGACATCAAGAATGAGTTTATAGCAAAATGTTTTTTCCTTGGCACCTGGGTCCAGGAGAGCATAGAGAGAATACTTAATATGCAGGCTGTTTGGCAGTGGGAAAAATAGTCATATAAGGAATTCAGACGGGTACAGGTGCTTCTATATGATTTATTTACCCTGTGAAGGCTGTAGCTCAACCCTTTAAAAATAGTAAATGTCACAACTTGTAATTTTAACTTCATCAGTCCCCTTAAGCTGCAGTATTATTAAGGGCAGCTCTTTGAAATGGAAGCTAAGTATTGTCTAAAATTTCATTCCAAATTCAACTTCTATCTCGCTTCTGTGGATTTTATTGCCTCTGGCAAGGCCGCTTCAATATCATGAGTTCTGAATATATTTTTTAAAGGGCATTTTGTATTGTTTCATTGGAAAAGAGGAATTAAGATGCAGGCTTCAATCAGTGAAACTAGTCATTGGGTCATCAGATAAAACTCCCCTATTGAGGAAGCTTCTCGGGTTCTTTTCTTTAAAATTATGCAGAGGGAACACTGCAGTATATAGTGCTCTTGTTTATCTCCCATGGAAAGTGATTTGTTGTTTAACCATAACATCTTAGTCACTGCATTCCTTCCTCCCTGACACAAAGTGCAGTACTGAGTCACTCATGGTTTTATTTGCTTGTGTGTGCATTCCTGTAGAAGGCAAACTGCCTCTCTCCATGTCTAGGCCAAAGGAAATAACTGTTCATTTTCCATTCTCATCATTCTGACTGATGCCCTTCGAAGCCTGTGCTACGGGGCGTGGTGTGGAACCTGGCCCTGCAAATGCCCTGACTATCTTTGTGTGGCCGATGAGGAGAACCTTACGTAAAGTCTGTTGGACTGCCTTGCCCGCTTGCCTGCTTGTTCTGTGCTTTAAATTAGCTTCTCAATTTCATCTTCAAGAAGTAGTTCCAATATTATAGCCAGTAATATAGAAACGTAGCAGGTGGTCTTTTATGTTTTTACGTGCACCTGGGCCTTCACTTCTATGATAAGCCCCTGCAGGTACTTTCTAGAAATAGAGTAGCTTCCAGAGACCTCCCCAACCTCTATGAAGAAAACAAAACTTGGCTCTGGTAGTGTATTATAGAGTTGTTAAGACTTTGGCCTCTGGAGGAAATTTTCCAGGGTTTAAATCAGTAGCTTGAACTTGGGCAGTTACTTAAATTCGATTTCATTATTTGTAAAATGGGATAATAGGAGCACTTACATTACCAAATTGTTGTGAGGTTTACACATGTAAAACACTTAGAACAGTGTTTTGCACAAAGTCAGTGCTCAATACATATTAATATGTGTATATATATGTATGTAACATAATATTATTACAGCAATGCATAAAAGGTGAGCTAGTGTGGATAGATACATGGACGGATAGATGGATGGATGGATGGATGGATGGATGGATGGATGGATGAACAGATGGACGGATAGATGATAGATAGATAGATAGATAGATAGATAGATAGATGATAGATAGATAGATGATAGATAGATAGATGATAGATAGATAGATGATAGATAGATAGGTAGCCTGGCCTTGTATTTGTTGGGCAATTGACTCAGTGAAAGCAATTTAGTTTTCATAGCGTAGCCTGGTCGAGTTGCTATTGATCCAAAGCTCAAAAGGTCGAGCAAGGATAGCTATTTTGGCCCAGCCTCACAGCAGCTGTACTAGATACACCATGCCCTTTTAAATTTAAGTCCATTGGGATTCTAATACTCTGAATCACAAGAAACATAGTTATTTTAGTTTGAGCTGGTCGAAAGTGATTACGTTTACAAGATCACAAGTGGTCTATTTCTTCCAGTGTCCACTTGTTCCTGGCACATGCATCTTCCTTAGACTTCACTGGCATAAAGTCTGGCCCAGTGATTGGTTCTATGGGTGTTATGTTCTAATAAGGAGTAACCTAACTTTGGTGAAGTATGTCTTGGAGAATAGTAAAATGTTTGGTTACATAAGTACAAACTTTCAGTTAATATTTCAAGACATTCCTGGAACCCTCCCTAAACAGCTATGATGACACTTAAGTAAAATAATTAGCTTTTAAAAAAGTTTTTCAAATCACCTTTGATGTATATCACTTAAAAGAGTTTCCGTTCTAGTACCGGGGAATAGCTAACTGAATTTAATTTAGCAAATGCTTATGAAGTGACGTTTATCTCTGTTTGCTGTTGGAGGGATGTAAAGGTGGGGAGAGCTTCCCATTGCGGGGAAAGTGGTAGAAGATACACTGGGTGTCACTGATGGACATGCTGTGGAGGGCTTTCAGCCGGGATGGGAAATCTGTGCTCAGTTAAACAGCCCCTGGGAGCCAGGAAGTGGCTCTGCGTGGGCACCTTGGTCAGTGCTCGGACTCAGGAAAAGTACTGTAGTGCCTGAGGTCACAGCAGGAGGGCGCAGACCCTCCACGGGGAGGAACTCAGTTCCAGTGCCCTTTATTTTATTGTTCAATCAAGAGAGAAGCCCTGGCTGGTTTGGCCAGTGGTTAGAGCGTCGGCCTGCTGACTGAAGGGTCCCGGGTTTGTTTCTGCCCAAGGACTGTACCTCGGTTGCAGGCTCTGGCCCCTGGGGTCACATGCAGGAGGCAACCAATCAATGTTTCTTGCATCCGTGTTTTTCTCTCTCTCTCTTCCACTCTCTCTGAAAAGCAATGGAAACAATATCCTCTGATGAGGATTAAAAAAAAGAGAGAGAGAATAAGGTTAGAATTATGGTGAACTTTAAACACTGTTGAAACCTGTTCTTTAACACCCTCTTCAGTAAAGGTATGTATTGAACAGACAGACTCCGATTGCCTCCTTCTATGTGTTTTCATCATGGTCCTAACATCCCCTGTAGTATGTATGTATGTACGTATGTATTTATTTATTTATTTATTTTTAATCCTTACATGAGAATATGCTTTTTATTGATTTTTAAAGAGAGAGGATGGGGGAGAGAGAGAGAGAGACATTGATTTGAGAGAGAAACTTAGATCAGTTGCCTCTCATAAGCTCCCCAACCAGGGATAGACCTGCAACCTAGGTATGTGCCCTGATAGGGAATGGAACCCACAACATTCTGGTACACAGCACAACCCTCCAACGAACTGAGCCATCGGCCAGGGCTCCTGAAGTTTTGGAGAACACATTCAGGAGTCCCAAACGACTAGCTCAGCACTCACTTTGTGCAGGTTTCTTGTTTGATCTCTACTCCCCTAGGTTCATCCATTTTTGATAAATGTATCTTGTCTTACCCCAAGTGACACATTAAATTTAAAGGTTTCCATCCTCAGGAAAGTGTCAGACCTGCACACCACTTTCTCTCAGCTGTGCTGCTTTATTTGGACACCACTCTGTAGCTCCACCAAAGAGACCAAAATACATTGGCTTTGGGCCACATCATTCCCACACTGGTAATCTAAAGGAGCATATTTATAATATTATGGTACTTAGGTCAAATAGTGTCGGTGTGACAAGCTTAGCAGTTATTTTTTTTTAGTCAAATTTCCTGGGAAAGAGAGAGGAACATATGGGAGAATTATTTGTGTTACAAGTTTTAAATTTGCAAAGCATAAACAAACCTTCTTCATAGGGTTCTCAAAACTCTTCAACATATTTTGAGACATGATGCTAAAACTAACATCCCATGTCTCTTGGTATCATAACCCCCACAAAAAACTGCTCAGCTCTCTGGGGCTTAGAGATTGTTAAATCTGACCTGTGACTCATGATGCTCAGGGTTTGGAGGTAGGTGATCAGTGTCATAGAAACAGAGATCCCAGATATGATCCTTTGTCTGAAGGATTTCCTGTCTGAGGAATTAATCATGAAGTTAGACAAGACATTTTCCTAAGTTCTATCTCCTGACATTGTATTAGTTTTTTATTGCCGTTATAATACATTACCACAAACCTTGCGGCTTAAACAACACTAATGTGTTTTCTCATAGTTTTGTATGTCAGATGTCCGATCGGGATCTCTCAAGGTTAAGGTGTTGGCAAGCTCTGTTCCTTTTTGGAGATTCTCAAAGAGAATCCCTGTGATAATCATTCAATGCTGAGAGAACTTAGTTTTACACGGTTATAGACTGAGGC